GCCTCCCCCCCTCCCCTGCGGTCCGCACCCGGCTCCCACCGCGAAGGCGAGATGGAGGGTAAACGCTGCCGGCCCCAGAGCCGCCTTCTCCCGCCTTTGCTACCCGCCCCGGGGCCTGGCGGGGTGGCGGCCACCGCCGCCATCTCTGACCCCCTCCACCCCTCGGGCGGTTTAGCCCGTCCTCTCCGGCCGGGGGCTCCTGGGGGCTCCCCGCCACGGCGACCGCCGGGCCCCGGGAGGAGACGGACGTCGGGACGGCGGCGGGAGGCAGGAGGCAGGGGCGGCTGGCAGCCAAGGGGCGGGAGGGGAAGGGCTGCCTTCGCGAGGGGCTCCCGCCGCTTCGGAAACTTCCCCCGTAACCTGCGGAGACGGGCAGGGAGGCTGCCTGCCGAGCATCTGGCTGTAGCCTCCTTTCCTTGAAGCGCAGCAGTAACCTAGCCAGAACGGTTTAATAAGGTAGACCTTGCATCACTGATTAGAAAAGCATTGCAGCACAGTAATTCTGTCGAAATAAATGATTTTTAAAGATGGGTGACTTTTAGGGTTGTTTTGTTTTGTTTTGTTTTTTTTTCCCCCAGGCACCAGGTAAAGCAGGTGTGGCAATACAGTGATTTGTTTTGGAGCAAAAGGTCTCAGGAAGGGAGAAGTTAATCCTGTCTTATAAATGTATTATCAAGTTAACTTGTTTACCTGCATTAGCAGGAAGGCCTTTCATCTTTGTGTAATAAAAAAGTTGACCGTATGTTTATAAAAGTTGGGAATGTGGAAGACTTATGCCTAATACAATAATGAGACTTCTGGAGAAGCTTAGAAAATTCAGAGACTGAATTGTGGTATCCCTAGGCTTTAGGTATGTCATTACTTGTGACATTAAGAAGTGAGGAATTCCTTGGTCTTGTGAGTGGAAGATGGTTGCTAAGTCAGAAAACAGAGAAAGTGTTTGCAGATGGCTGTTCTCTCTCCCACAAAATCAATATTCTTGATAAGAATTTCTCCACTTACCCCAAGTTGGGAATCTGTTATAAAAACAGTCAAAAAGTCTCAAGACCTAGTATGTTGCTTTTAGTTTTACCCTAAGCATGGGTGAGACACTGAAAAAGATTTTACTCCCAGGTTGGGAAAGTCTAGCTTGTCTCCCAGAAGTTCAGTGTCTTGCACTCATGGGTGACCCAAGTCCTTAGCACTGTATTGATGGAGAATCTCAAAGCAATATATTTGAAAGAGAACTCCTGAAACTTAATACTTTAAGAATGATGACTCCCTTTTGCTTGATTTGATGTAAATTGATTGAGTGTTATAAAGTTACGTGATAGTTCTAGTGTGCGGTAATACATTCGAGCGTGCGTAGTAGTTTAAGGCTGTACTGTGTGAGTAGCAGGAGTGGTACTGTTTGAGTGACAGCTCTAAAAGTGATTTGCTTCTGACGCAGCTTATCTTAATATCCTCTGCCAAGACAACACCAAAGATAAGCTTCTAGTGGTCACTAAGATTGAGATCCTGGCGTTCCCTCTGGCTGAGTAGTAGTGCTCTTGTTCAAATATTGCCTGAAGTATGCTACCAAAAGTCTAATTTCCTTCTAAAACCATTGGCTTGTGCTGGTAAGACTGAATTTGTCTAGTGATAATATCATCTCCCCCTTGCTGCTGCAGGTTTTCCAGTCTCTCTATCCTATTCATGAGTAGCATCTGTAACTTCTGCATACCTTATCTCTTCTGAGGAATTTTTTACTCTCCCTGTCCTCTCTTCTATCTTTCGTTATTTGCTGTTTTCTGCTAGGTTCTGTTTGATGAATGAACTTCATGAGAGTGGAATGGTTAAGGAAGTTGGGCTGCATTGTAGCCTTTTCTGTGAGTATTGATTGTTGCCTTATTTGTGGATTCAGGTAATTTAGGTTCTGGAGAAAGATTTTGCTCCTGTTATCTTGAGCTGTTGAAGAAGTGGAGCTCTTTGGTTCTCGAGGTGGTAAGGTCTTTTTGTTCCCTGTGGAAAGATTTTTTTCTTTTTTTTTTTTGTTTGGCAAGTGTGAATCCACAGTTAGAATAAGACCTTTTGGGCTGATATGTGCAGTTCTCCTTTCAGTACTGGTTTTATGTGCTCTAAGCTTTTAAGATTATATGGGAAAACATCTAGGAGACAAGGACTGAAGGCACCTGCCTGTTGCAGCAGTAGCATTGTATTTGCTTTGAACAGCTTAAGCAGCTGGCAAAGTGGAGGCTTGGATGTGCATAGAGTTACCCTTGCAGCAGCTGCTGTGGTGAACACATTGGGAGCACTCTTGGGGGGTGTGTGTGTGACACATTTTGGTATTTTTTAAATTTTAAAGACTCTTAATGTGGAGAGAAAGCAAGCACTTGTGAGGTTCATCTTGCTTGTTGCTAAGTGAGCTTAATTTCTTTCAGGCATTATCACCGCTGTCCACAAGGTCAGCCTTAATGACTCTGCAGGGATGAGTAAAAGGATTTTTTAGGCTCTGCTTCCACTAACACAAAAGATAAAAATTCCATTAATGAGAGGGGGCCAGGTTGTGGATTTGTACTCCTAGCTGCAGAAACAGATCTTCACTGCATATATCCTTCAGTCATTTGTCATCAGGATAGCTTTCCAAGGTTGTTTTGGCATGGAGAAAGCCTAGAGAATTCTGTATTGGGAACAACAACAAAAAAAAAAAGTATCCTTGTGGGGCATAATGGCTGGGTCTGTTAAGCAGAGTCTCAAGCAAGTTACTAGCTCATCAAGTACAACAAACAGAGTTGGAGCTGGAAATCATAAGAGGAAGGGAGCAGCTGGCATATATGCAATATGATGCTCTTTTAACTTCTGAATTGCTGTCTGCTCTGTGTGTTTGGGGTGTTTTGTGGTTTGCGTCTTCCAGCAGGCTGGGAAGATGAGTCAGCAAACTTTTATTTCACATAAGATGTGCCTGTGTTGCCATCTCAAACAGGTGTAATGTGAAGCATGGTAAAACATACTGAAAGTTAGGGTGACTTTAAAGCTCTGGTAACGTGACACTCAGGTTAGTATTTTGGTCAGAGCAGAGGGATAGGATCTCTCCTGTGTCTTAAAATCTGATCTGATAAAAAAGATACTAGGATCTTTGCTAATATCACTTCATCAGAGGAGGGGAAACATAAGTTTGCAAGAAAAAAAGTGCACCAAATAAAGACATTCTGTGTGAGTGCATTCACTGTACTTTAAAATGAGTAAGACTTTTCTTGGCAGTTAATGAACGTTTAGTGAAGAAGCTTAATTTGACATTTGAGAAGTTCAATAAATAATTTTTCTTTCTTGATTAAGACATCTTTTAAGCTGTCACTTATGCAACAAAGAATTGTTGCTTTTTAATGCATTGAGAGAGCTTGTTGCATACTGATTCAGCTATTATTGCCTGTTAAACAGATTTCATGTGCCTTAATTTCCCTGCCCTTGATTATTTTAAGCAGCCTGCTTCGTTAAAAACCATTTGTATTTCCAAAAGCATTTATTACATGTTCAAGACAGAAAAAGTGGACACGTTGAAATCTATGTCTTTGTATTTCTCTGACCTCCTCTGCCCCCCACATTCAGGTTTGAGATAGTCAGTCCTAATGCTCACCCCCAGTGTTTACAGAAACTACCTCGTCAGGCTTTGCAAAAATCAAAAGTTAAATTTCTTATGGTCTTTTTGCTTCGGCTTGTGTCACAAACTGTAGAGGCTGTTGGGGGGGGGTAGTTGTAAAGCATTGATACCTCAAGGATACTCAGCAGGACATGACTAAATTGGGGACATTTCCTCCCTTTTTTAATTCTCCCATCTGTGCATGGAAGTTATCTTAACATTAGTGGAGTTTATACATGTGCAATGGGGGAGTAATAAATTTAAATGACCAGTGGTTTTTGCTTTGTGGCGTGTCAGTGGAGATTGTTTCTGTTGATGTTTATTGTTAGGGCAAGTCTAAGGGTAATAAAAGGTGTCTTAGACTTGGTTCATATGTATGTATGTCCATCTCTATTACTGTTTCTTGAGTATATGTGATCTTGATTTTATTTTTTTTTTTTAATGAGAAACTTGTCAAGTATCAGCAAATAGAGGTGTCTGTAAAGAAAAAGTTACGTGACCAGAGGTTTTTTGGTGCCATATATATGAGGTATGGGACCAGAGGTTTTTCAGTGCCATACACATGAGGAGGACTGGTTCTTAGAGACAAAGGTCTTGTCTTAGTGAAGTAGCAATAACTACAAAGTAGCTGATAAACCTAGATAATTCAGAAGAGCTTTTGGTTCTAAAGCTTGGATGTCTCTGCCCTTTGTCACGTTTCACCTTATGTAAGCTGAAAAGCCTCATAAATATGATCTTAGCCATTGGCAAATGTCAGGGTTTCACCAAGAAATGTTGTCTCATAAGCAGCTTGGCTTCCCTCCTCTAGTTACACTGTAGGACAGCTTGTGTCTCATTGAGCTTCTTAAACTAATTTTTCTCAAGCAGACCTACTCCATTGTTCAGGGATTATTGAGCCCCCTTTGGGGACAGTATATCACTCTAAAAAGCTGTTACACCTGCCCGAAGGGGAAAGAGCAAACAACAAATGTTGTATGTACCTGCTATTTGGTTGCAGTGTTGATGCTGATCTCAAACAACTGATTAAAGTTTTGTCATGATCAAAAAAAAAAAAAGCCAAATACGAGGTCTGCTAGTGTTTTCTGCTGGTACTTGCCAGTGTTTACTGTCACCCAACAGCTTGGCCTCTTGCAGCTCAGGAACGGTTTCCCAAAACCACCCAGGAAAATCAAGGCAGGCACCATCTGAAGTGATGGGTTCAGGGCCCTGCTGGGTTCTTCATCTGTGTGACTGGTCTCTGCTGATCTGACCAGCGATGTTATAATAGTCTGTGCAAGGCAGCTTGCTCTGTTTTGAAAGTGGATTGAACTACTTTCCTATACATAATATGCAAATAAATTGTGAATGTCTACGTAGGAACTAGTTCAGAGGACCTAGTGGGCTGGAAAGTTACATCCTGATTTACTATGCACTAGCTTCCCCGTGTTAGTACCTAAGGGCATATCTCAGAAAAATATTGGAGA